GTCAGTCTGGACCAGCTCCTGAAACTGGAAGATCCAGGTCACAACAATTAATCCAAAAGATTATCATGATGGAGTATCATGGACATACCACTTTGTAGGCCAAAAATTAAGTTAAGTTAATTTTTCCTGTCAGTTTTCTCCATTAAATTATATTTCCTATAGTGATGGATGAATCTCAGAAAATTTTTAATTTGGGTTTAATTCAGATTTTCAAGCCTTTTGAGCACTATCCCAGTCCCCACAAAGCCTTTATCCAGTTATACAACACACCCCATTTGCCTACCCTCCACCCACCATGATAGCAGACCTGCTTAGAGGAAGGTCCAGCAACCCACTTATTTCTCAGGTAAAAGGTCTCCTCTTCAAGAGCATGACAGGCTTATCATATGCCTATCTCTCACATCCTCAGAACATTCTCTCACCTCCCCCTTTTAAAGGGTGATACATTTATCCTCCTCCTGCCTACAACCCATGCAGTCTTTTAGGGACAATCCGATGATCCTTTACCCATTACAAAGTTTTTAGGGGGGATGGTTGTTACGCTGACTCTTTCCTCAGTGCCCTCTCATCCCATATGTATTTTCTAAGGTATGGAAAGCCTGCCCATTCTGCTGTTCAGTAGTAGCAGGATCCAGAAACTTGCTGTTGGATTACGCTGCTTCTGACCCTATGATCTTTGCATGCACCCGGAGCTAAAATGCCCCAGTGTGCATTGTAGTATATCACAATCACTGCTCTTGCCTTCCCCCAAGGTGACCTGCCACCAGGTAAGAAGTGCAAGGGAAGTACATTTAGGGGGGGATTTGGGAAGGGGATCTCTAATGCAGACATTCCAGAGCTTCAGAAAGGGTTAGAGTTCAGTTTGTTTCAAATTTCAGGCTGGGGTGTGTGTGTTATTTTATTCAAATTAGTTTGCCGGATTCCTAATCAACATAAGTTGTGCACCAAAAGAAAGCAATAGGGACTGCAGTGTTTTGTAGTATGTTACATGTCTGTCAATGCCATGAAAAGAATGTGTCACGTAACATCTGTATTAATAACCTAGCCTAGACATGGCAAAGGTAACAATTAGTTTGCATTTGTTTCCTTTCAGTAATGTGTGGGGGGAAACTGTTACATTTTGGATCATTTTAGGAATTGAATGTTTTTCTCTCACATGCAGTGCTAGAAAAGGCTAACAGCACCATGCATTTTGGTTCCTTCTTGAAGTCTCCATATATAACAAATAATAGTAAAACACTTAGGTGTTTCTGAGTCTCTTCATGCTGACAGATATCTCTAAGAACTCAAGTGAGGAGTATGGATAGGTTTTGCATGAGATGTAGAAGCAGGATTACAAATTTAATGAACTTTCTGCTGTGTTTTGTGTTATACAGGTTAAGGTATATCTACACTTATGGCAGTGTGTAGAGTACAGACACTGCACACCCAGGTAGCATGGGTATAAACAGGGTCGATGGAGGGAGCGAAGCCGGTACAAATTACCAGGGCCCGGCGGTCCGGAAGGGGGCCCGGGGCCCGGCTTCCCCCCCCCCGTCGGCCCTGCTTAGCTGGTCCGCCCTTGCATTGGGGCCTGAACCTGCTCTCGGCGGCCCTGGGTATAAATAACAGTGTAGACAGTGAGGGACAGCTTAGGCGAGTAGAGTGCCCTACATGCCTGAACCCTAGGGTGTGTACCATACACAGCTCTCTACATGCCCAAGCATGAGCTATCCCTTCCCCCTCAGGGGGGAGGGATAGCTCAGTGGTTTGAGCATTGGCCTGCTAAACCCAAGGTTGTGAGTTCAATCCTTGAGGGGGCCACTTGGGGATCTGGAGCAAAATCAGCACTTGGTCCTGCTAGTGAAGGCAAGGGGGCTGGACTCAATGACCTTTCAAGGTCCCTTCCAGTTCTGGGAGATGGGATATCTCCATTAATTTATTTATAGTGCCTGCCATGTCTATACTTCTGTTTTTAGCAGTGTAGTCTCTCATTGTCTCCCTGCAGCCAAAGCCTTTCCTCACTGCAGCGAAAGGCTCTGTAAGCAAGGAAAGGTAACAGGTAAAGGCTCTGGCAGCTCCCCACTACTGGAGCCTTTCCCTGCTGCCAGAGCTTTCATAGAATATCAGGGTTGGAAGGGACCTCAGGAGGTCATCTAGTCCAACCCCCTGCTCAAAACAGGACCAATCCCCAACTAAATCATCCCATCCAGGGCTTCGTCAAGCCTGACTGTAAAAAGCTCTAAGGAAGGAGATTCCACCATCTCCGTAGGTAACCCATTCCAGTGCTTCACCACCCTTCTAGTGAAAAAGTTTTTCCTAATGTCCAACCTAAACCTCCCCCACTGCAACTTGAGACCATTACTCCTTGTTCTGCCATCTGGTACCACTGAGAACAGTCTAGATCCATCCTCTTTGGAACCCCCTTTCAGGTAGTTGAAAGCAGCTATCAAATCCCCCCTCATTCTTCTCTTCTGCAGACTAAACAATCCCAGTTCCCTCAGCTTCTACTCATAAGTCATGTCCTCCAGCCCCCTAATCATTTTTGTTGCCCTCCGCTGGACTCTTTCCAATTTTTCCACATCCTTCTTGTAGTGTGGGACCCAAAACTGGACACAGTCCTCCAGATGAGGCCTCATCAATGCCGAATAGAGGGGAATGATCACATCCCTCGATCTGCTGGCAATGGCCCTACTTATACAGCCCAAAATGCCGTTAGCCTTCTTGGCAACAAGGGCACACTGTTGACTCATATCCAGCTTCTTGTCCACTGTAACCCCTCGGTCCTTTTCTGCAGAACTGCTGCCTAGCCATTCGGTCCCTAGTCTGTAGCAGTGCTGGGGATTCTTCCATCCTAAGTGCAGGCCTCTGCACTTGTCCTTGT